TGTGTGTGTGTGTGTGTGTGTGTGTGTGTGTGTGTGGTAGACTGACATGTCTCTGGGTGAGCAGTACTACAAGCCCAAGGAACAACTCCAGCTGGATGTGAGGGCCAATCAGGATGGCCTGATGGCTCTGTCTGCTGTCGACGCCGCCATCTTTACCCTACGACCCAACTACCGAGACCCTGTTTCCATGGTAACACCAAAATCATACCGTTTTATCGGTTTGCTTCGGTTTGTCATTAAAAACAGACACAACAACAAACTGATGGCCCTTTATGTCGACTCTGACTTTAAGGGACGATATTTCAATTTCCACGTGTTGACAACTGACAGAATGAACTTTGACCCGCAGGTTCTTCGTCACATCGAGCAGAGCGACCTGGGCTGCGGTGGAGGCGGCGGTAAAGACAGCGCAGATGTTTTCCGTCTGGCTGGCCTCACCTTCATCACCAACGCCAACACGGCCCCCTCGACCAGCAGTATGTCAGTCAGTAAATGAGTGAAGGGAGACGCTGCGGTTAAAGTGCTGCATGGCTCACTCGTGCTTTGGTTATGGTGTTTCAGATGAGGCGTGCACAGCTGTCGTGCGTGCAAAGCGAGCTCTGACCGAACCGGAGAAAAATGCAAAAGGTGAGACTGCAGCAGCATGTTTCCTTTCTGTTCCATGTTGTCCCGTCAATCTGCTCATTTGAGCATCACGTTGGTTGGTGTGACTCAAACACAGCATAATCACACTCCGCAGAGAATACATGGCAAAAATTGTGTCTGATTAAAGTTTGACTGCCCTGCATCAGCCTGGCGACCTGTCCAGGGTGGACCCCGCCTCTCACAGTACGGTAGCTGTAATAGGCTCCACCCACTGACAAGGATAAGCAGAAATCTCTGACATTTCACTTCTTCACATCCAACAAGTGACCAGCGACCAGGGTCGCAGGGGCAGCAGCCCAAGCAGAGAAGCCCAGACCTCCCTCTCCTCAGCCACCGACTCCAGGAGGTGGCTGAGGAGAGGGAGGTCAAGGAACATCAAGGTGTTCCCAGGCCAGTCGAGAGATATAATCTCTCCAGCGTGTCCGGGGTCTGCCCCGGGGCCTCACCCAGGAGGCATCCTTGTCAGATGCCCGAACCACCTCAGCTGGCTCTAGTTTGAGTCACTCCCGGATGGCTGAACTTCTCACCCTGTCTCTAAGGGAGAGGCCATGATCTCGTTCTTTCAGTCACTGCCATTTAACCCATCTTATCCTGATCACTAGACAAAGCCACTGTCCAGCACCCAGTGACCACCATTTATATATAAGTATGTAATTTAGCTGAATTGAATTTAAGAGTCTAAGCTTTTCAGGGCCGAGTACAATAACCTCAGTTTTATCTGAATTAAGAAGCAGAAAGTTAGCGGCCATCCAGGTCTTTATGTCTTTAAGACATTCCTGCAGTTTAACTCATTGGTGTGTGTTATCTGGCTTCA